AAGGGAAGGCACTGTGGCCAGGGCATTCCCAGACAAGGACATTCAAGGAGATCCTTTGCCTGGACACACCAGGAGCCCCATGAGCTGAGGATGAGACAGGGCCTCTCCTGGTTATTTCAGAATGCTGTCCTCAGGTTGTTCTGCTGGTAATGGGGCATCCTGCAGTCCTGGGAGCAGTCCTAGGCAGGAAGTACTGTCTTACTACCTCGGCTGTCAGTCTGCCTGGCTGAAAGGCAAGGGCAGGCAGCAGCAGCATACCCTGACAAGGGGGTCCCAGCCCTTGGTTAGGCTTCTGAGCTTAGGAGAGTCATAATGGCCCCCAGAGCCACCCCCTCAGGAAGCACCCTTGAGTTTGTACCTCAGATGTGCTGAGCATCTCTGTTCTGGACAGGCTGTTGAGACTAGCACCTGTGACCCACCCCTAGAGGTGAGCAAGGATAGGGCCAAGGGGGTAGCGCAGAGGGTGTCGATGTCACCACCAGGACCTGGCCTTCTGACCTAGAGCAAACCCCATGCTAAGTCCCAAGCGGAATCTTCTTATCCTGGGCACACTGCAGTTCTCGAGGTGCTTGTAGGACATGCCTCAGCCAGGTCTGGGCCAGGCCAGCGGGTCCTGGTTAATTAGCATCTTCCTTGCAGGGTAGTAGCAGCCACCCCCATAATTCCCCGAGGCCAGATCTAGGCCACTGCCCCATTTTAAACTAGGGCAGCAGTTCCCAGATGAAAGAAGAGAAGGAACTGGCCCTTGGGTTTTGGGGTGTGACAGATGATGGGAGGAGTCTCTTCCCTTGCCCTGGAAGGCAGGCATATCTTCTTTGCAGTCCTGGGATTTGAACCCAGAGCTTTACTCCTGTCAGGGAAGCACTCTACCTTCTCACTTTGGCAGCACATATTCTAAAATAGGGAATCAGTCTTAACAGTGAGCTACATTCCTAGCCCTTTTAATGTTTTATTTTGAGAGAGTGTCTTGGTAAATTGCATAGGGTGGCCTGGAATTTGTGATTCTCCTAGATCACCCTTCTAGTGCTAGGATTCCAGCTCTGTGCCACCATGCCCAACTAGAAGTGGGTACCTCATCACTCAGTGCACCCTGCCCCTTCCTGCTGGGAGGCGGTGTGCTCACAGTCTGGCTCTGTGAGGTGTCTAAGTCATGCAACAGTGAGGAAGTGAGTACCTGTGGGAGAAGCCTCTCAGCATCGCTGATTGCCATATCCAGAGACCTGAAACAGCCCGGCGGCAGCAGAACTATAGATATGTGCTGAGTAAGCACAGGGGCACATAAGTGAAGGCACAAAAGCCACTGGTTAGAGTATCAGTTTGCTCTCACCAGGCTCTGCAGGAGAGGGTGATCCTCAGGCAAGACATTGGGCCTGTCACATAGGGCCAGAGCCATGCTGTGCTCTGTGGGAGGCTTTCACCCTCATGTTCTATCGGGAGAAGCCTCAGAGTGCTACTTCATAAGAGATCCTACCGTCTTCCCAGGTTATTGAAAGATAGGCCCAAGATAGGAATTAGACTGACCCTGTCCATGTCAGTGCTCCTCATGGCCCTACCGTTGTGCCATAGACTTATTCACTGTGTGCTTACACCCTGGAGTGAGAGGGCCAGACTTCCTTACTTAAAGAAGGCTTATCCCCAGGTCCTTGGACCAGTGACTTGAATGTGATGACCTCTTTGGTGGAGGGATAGCCAGAGCCACAAGAACAGGTAGCCCTGGAGGATGCAAAGTCCGTGGGGCTGCTGCTGGGTCCTCCTGTCCCCTCAGAGGCCCCTTTCTCCTCACAAGAAAGGTACATGAAGCCTTGGCACAGCTATTCACCATGCATGGGTTCATCAGCCATGGGGTGAAGGCAGGATGAGGGCTGACAGCTGCACCCAGAAGGCAGGTTCCCTGTGGTCACTCAGTGAGATCAGGATCCCAGGCTAGTATAAGGAAGAGGAGGACGGGCTTGGTGGCACACACGTATATTCCTAGCACATAGGAGGCTGAGGCAGGAGGATCGCCGCAAGTTTGAGGCCAGCCTGGGCTACAGAGTGAGTTCAAGACCAACCTAAACTACACAGTGAGACCCTGTCTTAAAAAAAAAAAAAAAAAGGACACTGTGCCAGGAAGCTTCTCTCAGGACCCCAGGCAAAAGTAGGGCTCACCCACCCAGGGTAAGGTTCCCTACCACTCCTGTGGGGGCTGTCTTCCCTGGAGGCAGGTATAGGATAGCAGAGTGATATCACCCTGGAGATGCCCCAAATGCCCCAGATTGTTGGTCCTCAGCGCTCTCTGTTCTTCCTGGCTCCTCTCTCTATTCCTTGTCTTCTGAGCACTCAGCAAAAACAAGCTTGTTCTGCCCTCCAGGGAGGCCTCCTCCCCGTCCCTTCAGGATCATTTCTCTAGGCTGGTCCAGCTCAGTGGGGGGTAGGTCAAGCTTGAACATCTTCTGTGCAGTGGATACCACTTCTGCCCTGGTCCTGCTAGGGGCTTAGTGAAGAGCAGGTGAGGCCTATGTGAGCTATACTCCTAGTAGCACACCTCACCCCGCACCGAATCCTGGTGTCTTCCTCCAAGACAGGCTGGTGAGTACCCAGTCAGGAGGGCTGCAGGTGGACCCAGAGATACACAGTTCTGCTTTCATCACAAATGCAGGAAAGATGCTTTGTTGATCACAGATGAGCTCTGGACACAGTTGTGAGCAGTTTCTGCCTTGTGGACAACTCTACTGGGCATAAGAGTGTGTTGTAGGAGGAGAACACTGGGAATGCCTCCTGTAGGAGCCTGCTATGTGTCAGGGCTCAGGAGCGCAGGGATTGTTCCAGCACTGACGCTAGCCATAGGAGAGGCAAGTATCTTGGGTGACCTGGCTGATGTGGGCATAGAGTTCGGGAATGTGCCTTTCTGGGCCGCTGGCCAGAACCCTTACAGCTGCAGCAGCTAATGCACTGAATTGCCCCATGCAGAAGCCACCAGCACATGTGGCTACCAAGTCCCAAGAGGTGGCATGTCCATATTGAGATGAGCCAGCAAATACAGCCCAGAAACCTGGACCTCACAGTAGCCCAGTAATGTCCTTTATGTGATTTCACATTGACAATGATATCAGGTATGTTGGGTTACACAAAGTATACCCGGGTTCTTCTTACCTGTCCTTTTGCCACCTTTACTGGCTTCTAGGAAACCTGAATCTGCCTGGTTTGCTCTGGCCTGAACCAGCCAGGCTTCTTTAAAGAGCCAGATAGGAAATACTTGTGACTTTTGGCCCAGGCAGTTTCCAAAAGTAGCCACAGGCAACATGTAAACAATTGAGTGGAGCCATGTCCAGTAAAAATATTTGTGGATACTGAAATTTGAATTTTATGTAATTTTTACCTCCTATATTCTTTTACTTTTTTTTTTTAAATTTTTTTCCCCAGCCACTAAAATATATAAAAGGAGTTCTGGCTGGTGGGCTGCTCCGTGCTCTGTGACCCTGCTCTGGACCACAGTGTGTTTGTTCAGTGCCCATCTTGCTTGTGGGGGAGGCCTGAGCAGGCATAGGACTCAGGGCCAGTGGTGCTGCATCCTAGCCAGCCTCTTAGGATAAGGCAGCCCCTCACACTTTGAGTGAGAAGGCCATCAGGTGGGTATTGTGGCCGCATGGGGGACTCTGTTGGCTCTGATCAAAGCCTGATGGCAAGAGGGTGCAGAACTGTTGGGCCTATAGCCCGGGGTGTTGAGGAAGGGCTTGGTTCTATACAGCTAGTCCTCTCAGGTATCAGGGGTTTTTATTTTATTTTTTAAAATAGTATTGCACTAGGGATAGAACTCAGGATATACTAAGCTGCATTCCCAGCCCTCTTTATTTTATTTTGAGACAGGGTCTCACCGAATTGCCCAGGCTTGACTCAGACTGGCAGTCCTTCTGCCTCAGCCTCCAGAATAGCTGGGATTATACACAGGGATGTGTTGTTGCACCTAGCTAGGTGCTGACTCTTAAAGGAACCACCAGCCCACTCACCTGTATTGTAGAGGGGCCCCCCTATCTGGGACTGCCTCCGAATTCCACACATGCCAGCTTCAGTTTTCCAGGGGCTTGTAGAGAGGTCAGGGTGGGCTTTTGGTGGGTAATAGTGAGTCCAGGGGTGGGGACTACTGGGACTAGGCCCTCCCATCAGCCTACAATCAGAAATGCAACCTGGATGTCCACCTTGGCCCAAAGCCCTGGCATTGGGACCTTAGTAACCCAGGCAATCCATGCATGTCAGCCTCCTGTCCCAGGACTGCCGCTTGCAGGCCTTGTTTGGTCTCTGCCTCCTTGGCCAGGGGTATAGGATGGCGTCTCCTGTTGTGCAGATAATCCACCTACAGAGGCCACAGCCAGGCTGTGCTTCTTCCTGATCACCTAGGAAGAAGGTCTGAGGGCCTGTCTGGAACAGAGGCTAAGGGCCTGGCCCAGGGCAGTGGGTTTGCAAGATTGGCTGCTGTCCTTCCAAAAACACAGCTTAACCCATGCCCCTATGTCTTTCTCTGGCCACTGATGGTTCCAGTTACCTTTCTCTGAGACCCTTCTGAGGCTTAGACCACCAGCATGCCCTCTGCCCCTTCCTTTTCCTATGTTTAAACTTCCATGCACTTCTTTCTATAATTGGGCAAAAACGGGTAATCTCTTTTCTAACTAAGGAATAAAACCCCTGTAAAAACCAGAGACAAGTGGTTTTTGCTGTGGGTATTGCTGAGTATTCAGAGGCAGGGTGGGATGATGTGCTTTATTGGAACCCTGGTGTACTGTGTGCTAGCCTCAGCTGCCCACCTCTACCTGCTGTGGGCCTGGCTGTGAGGTGAGCCCTATGGTGCTGAATAGCTGGAGTTGAACCCTGGGTCCCTGCATCTTGCTCTCCCTTGCCCCACCACAGGCTGCTCAGCATGCTGGGAATCCTCCCAGGGCCTGGGACTTTGTCTCTGTGATCACACTGTTTTTTTCTCTCTTTTTATTCTCTCTCTCTTTGTTTATTTTTGTTATGTCACTGACCAGCCAGCCGCCCTGTCTCCAGCGTGGGCACTCTGCTCTCTCCATGCTCCCGTTCGTGTGTTGCCGGCCAGAGGTGACCAGGCCCAGCTCTCAGCGTGGCCACTGTCAGGGAGGCCATGGGGAGCTCCGCCTCCTCCCTGGCCACCGAGACAGAGTCAGACCATGGCTTCCCTAGGGGGCTGCCCTACCCGGGGCCCTCAGCAGCGGCTGGCTGGTGTAGGAGTGGCCCTGGGGCACCTGTCTGGGGGAGTGCCCTGGTCACCAGGCAGCACCCACGCCCCCGGGCCCGCAGGTAAGAAAGTTGGAGGGAATGTCCCAGAGGGGTCTTGGGCAGGAGGCCTCTTTTTCAGGGTATCCCTCCCTGTCAGAGGTGCTTGCTTAGAACTGGGGCCTGTCTTTTAGGGCTTTCTGACATTTTATTCCCCATAAGGTGCAAGAAGAGCTTGTTTCCACTTTAGACTGAGCAAGACCCCCTCCTCCAAGGCCAGGGTATGTCAGCACTGCCCACCATTGGGCACTTCCTTACCTTGGCCTCTCATGCCTTACCAAAGCTGCCTGGAGACCCTCTTGGACCAGGGAAGCTGCTGGCCCCAGCCCTCATGTGACTGTGACTCCCACAGTCTGCCATCTGCTGGACCAGCATGGAGCTGTGGGCAGCACACAGGAGACTAGACTCTTCAGGTGTCTTTGACATACGGTCTGAACTCCTGGCAGATGAAGAACATGAGGGGGTCTTTGGGGCTATGGGAGATTCCAGAGTCCTAACAGTTACCCTAATGAATGAGAGCCTCTGTGGAGCTAAAGACTACGGAGGACAGGAGCAGAATAGCAGCAGAGACCAGTGAGAAGCGGGAATGGCCAGGCCTGGTGGCTGCACACTGCTTTTTCTGCACATGATGGTCTCAAGAATACACCTGCAGATCCTCTCCATACTTTGTCACTCTAGGAAACATGTCCATATGTCTTTTCAGATGGCTATTGAGATGTGGCATATGCATCAAACTCACCTGTTAGTACAGTCATTTCTAACTAGTGTGTAGCTTTGTGCAGACATCCTCATGAGCCAGTTTATGGCATCTCTGTACCTCTAAAGAGCTCCTCCTCCCTGTTTGTAGTCACTCCCTCCCTATTCTGGTCCCAGACAGCCACTAACCTGCTATCTGTCTATAGGTTTGTCTTTTCTAGAAATTTCACAAAAGGGGAATCGTACAGTGTGTGGCTTTATGGGTCAGGCTGCTTTCACCCAGCATAATGCCCTTGGGGTTCGTCCATATTACAGATGTGTTAGAATTTCATTCCATTTTATGGCTGAATAGTATTGTATTGGAAAGATACACCACTTCTTATTTATCTGTTCATGGGCACTTGGCTTGTTTCCAGTTGGCTTTTATGAATAATGCTGCTCTAAACATTCACACTGATGTTTTTGCGTGGATGCATGTTTTCATTCGTCTTGGCTAGATCCCTGAGCAGAATCACTAGGGTTTGTGTGACTTTCATTGCACCTGTTGCAGTGCTTTCCAAAGTGGCTGCACCGCTTCACATTCCTGCTAACAGCGTGGAGGTGCGGGTGTCTGGTGTCTCTCATCCTGAACGTGCTTGTTCGTGTCTGTCTTTTTGACTCTAAACATCCTAGAGGATACACAGTTGTGTCTAATTTGGTTTGATTTGCATTTCCCTGATATGTAATAGTATTCAGCATCTTTGTGTTTTCAGCTATCCACATTTTTAAAACTTCTACTTGTGTATATTTTGAGGAAAAATTGTTAGGAATAGAATTACTGGGCCCAGAGTCTGGATGTTTGTGTCTGGACCACATTCTGAGAGTGTCACAGTGGCAGGCAGTGCCCCACAGTGAGTGTCACCACACACTTGCCAGACAGGTGAGTGGGTTTGCTACTTTTATTTTTCCTAAGTTGGTGTATACAAATGAAAGTTCAAGGTTTTAAAATGCACAACTATGTTTTCCAAGTCACACTTAAAAATTTTACCCAGTATAATTTTTTTATTATAGAAATTCCACACATTTAATAAAAATTCAGGCAGTACAAGTCAGGTCACAAGTGGTAACCCACACTTATAGTTCCAACAACTCAAGAGGCTGAGGCAGGAAGACTGCAAATTTGAAGCCAGCCTGGGCAACACAAGACCCTGTCTTAAAATACAACTTTGAAAAAATTGGGCTGGGCATGTAGCTCAGTGGTAGACCACTTGGCCTAAAATAGGGTCAATCCCCATTAGTACAAGAAAGAAAGAAGAAGGGAGGGAGTATAGAGGAATACACAGAAAAATATTTTTCTCTTTCCTGTTTGTTTTTTGTTTGTTTGTTTTTTTACAGTGGGCAAGGCTCAGCCCTTCTTTGTTAGCCCCTGGCCATACCTGTCCAGGACACAGGCTCTGGACAGCTTAGTCCGTTTGCTCCTTAGGGACTCATGCGGCAGTTGTCTGTCTGCCCTGTCTTCCTTGGGACCATTGGCAAGAAGAGTGGTGGTGGCTATGGTCTTGGCCACAGCGAGAAAGACTGGAGCCTTGGACCAGCACAAGTGAGGCGCAGGCCCTGTGCAGTTTGCCAGGCAGGTCCCTCTGAAGGGGTGTGCGTGTGCTGGATTTGGTTTTCGCCTTGCAGGGTCCCATTAAAGTTCCTGGTGACAGCATCATTGGCCTCCTGCCAGAGCCTCTGCTGTCTGTTCCCTTGACAGCCCTGGGTTGTTCCATCACTGCAAGTGACCCTGTACCTTAAGGCTGTTATTATTTGACGCAGAGTGGTGGCCCCCAAGGCAAGCAGGAGGAAGTGCTGATAATGACTTTGAGGGGTCCATAGACAGCCAGCTAGGGAGGGAGCAGTGGGGAGGAGCTGGGGTTGGCAGATTTTGGAGAGAGTAGCCATTGATAACACACCAGGCCACCCTACAGGACCCTCGCACCCACATCTGCGCATACATGCCTGCAGTGCAGTGACGTACAGTCATGGGAAACAGTCTGCAGACTTCTCCCAGCTCTGATAGGGCACTGTGGGTCAGGAAAGGCATAGGGCAGGAATTGTCTTTGCCAAGCTGAGTATACTAGCTTTATGCCTGTTAGAGTTTCACCACACCCTCAGGAGAACAGGTACTATCACCCAGGCAGCCTCCATATATTGGTGAAGTGGAGCTCACAGACTACTTCAGCAGGGAGGACCAGGTATGTTGTGCCTCTGCTCTCTAACCCACTGCCTCACCCAGTACAGGAGCCCCGTCACACTCCATGTCTCACCAGCTACCTCATCAGTGAGCAGTTGGTTCAGCATTGGCTGGTGATAGACAGAGACCGAAAGGATACACCCTACCCTGGAGGGCTGGCCATCCTTAGAGAGAGTAACCTGTCCCTTCCCCACCCCAAGAGTGGCCAGTAACCTTGGAGGGAGGTACTTTCCCCCTTGGGAGCATGAGGTAGAAGCCTCAGGCATGTAGTTCACCATAAGCACAGGGACAGCTGCTGAAGTCAGCCTGGTCCCTGGGGTATGGAGCTGGCAGGTCAGGTTTCAGGCTGCACAGCTGGCAGGTATGGCCAGTATCCCTTTGTGTGACCTACTGGCTGGCTGCCCAGCCCCAGAGGTCTGGAACCTTTGGCCAAGGTGCTAGGTGGGACACCACTTGCTGGCTTAGTTTCTCAGGGGGAGAAGCCCCTCTCATCATAACAGGATGCAGTGGTCTTAGTTTTCCCATCAGTGCTCACTTCTGGCTTCTACCAGTGGGCTTTGTCATATGCCCCATGAGCTCACAACCTCCCTTCTTCCCAGTCCAACTGTGTGTTGGCAGTGCCCAGGAAACTGAGGGAAGAGGTGTCCTGTGCCAGATTTTCTGGCCCTTGCTTTGGTCTCCCGTACCAGAAGCCAGTCCCTCTAAAAGTAGAATTGCTCCTGGAGTCTTCAGCATGGCTGCCTCTAGTCTGAGCTTGTGTGCTGCAGGATATGAGAGCACTTTGTTGAGAATTCTGAAGGTCCTTTAAAAAAATTTTTTTTAAGTACTGGGGGTAGAACCCAAAGCCTTACACTACTAGGCAACTGCTCTGCCCTGAGCTGCATCCCACCCCTAGAATTTCAGAAGGGATTTGCCAACTCATCAGAAGGTCAGTTTGAGTCTTTGGGCTCCTGATGTGGGATTTTACTCACAGGCCTGGTGGTGTCTGGCCTGGCCTGCTGCTATTTCATGGGCTTCAGGACTTTGAGTCCCTAGTCCCCTCACAGGCCCTACAGCAGATGCACCAAAGCAAGTGAGCTGAGCAAGGTGACTTCTGGGGCCCTATCAGATCCCCTGGCTGCCTGGCCACTGTCCCTCAGCCCCTTCCACCCTAGCCCACATAATGCAGAGGGGGGTCAGCTCTCAAAGTCCCTGTTCCCAACTGGTCTTCTTTCCCCCAGGCCCTTCTGCCCAACTTGCCATTTTCTCAGGGCCAAATCTAACTTTTAAGGATTGTTTTTTGTCTAAAGCTTCTCAAATGCTAACAGAATCTTCCTGATTTGCCATATCTATAAGGACAGCTTTGACACCTCTCATGTGCCTCTACCCATGTCCTTCCAGGTACTGGCTGGGCCAGCAGGTGCCATGCTTTGGATCCAGCTGAGCCCAGGCAAGGCATGGGCCAGTTCTGGAGGGCATGGGAACCTGGACTCTCTCCTTTCTGGCACTTTTAAGGTCCTTACTCTCCATCTGGGGCCTGAGATGGAGAGGACATGTCCTGGAGGGCCTGGGCCAACTCCTGGACAGCCAGTTGTTGCATGCTAAGGCTGTCTCCACCTGAGTCTTCTCTCTGGAGACTCCTAGGGAATGGGCTATAAAGGTCAGGTTCACTGTGCTGGCCACACAGGCCCCTCTGGCTGTCTCGCTGTGCTGTGCTGCCAAGTGTGTGTGTGCTAGTAGAGGCAGTTGCCCAGGCGTGTGCTCAAGCATGTGCGCACACATTTCTGTGGGGGCATGTGCTATGCTCTGCGTCTTGACCTGAGCCCTTCTCTGCATGAAAGAAAAAGAGATCTGGGCATTTCCAGGCAGGTTCCTTGAGTTTTCCAAGCACAGAAGCCCAGGTCTAGTGCACCATATACTCCACTAGCCCAGGGTTCTATAGAGCCCCTCTTGTCTACTCAGGCCTTACCCTCCTGTGGACAGTCATGGGCAGATTAACACCTTTACCACGTGGGTTAAGCATAGTTCTGCCTGCCCTTTATAGAATCAACTCTGGGAACCATTTGTGTTGCTTGGGGAGATCTTGGGGGTTTTGTTTTTCCTGAAGAGTGAGTTATCTTTCTTCCTAACCAAAAGGATTAGAAGTGCAAGCTTTGTAGCTTGTTAGAAAGAACAATTGATTTTCCTGCAAGCCAAGCCACAGTCAGTTGAAGAGGTGCTGTGGAGTGTAGAAACCCCCTTCCCCAGCCCAGCCTCACCCTACCCCAGGTCCCTTTGGACCTAGAAAACCTCTGCCTGCTGTGAATCCTGCCTGCTGCTCTGTGCCTCAGCATCTCCTCTTCTAGTCAGGGAGGAGAGGCCCAGTAACTCACCCAGATCTGAGGCTGTTGGCGGCTTTCCCTTCACATACTATACTCTGTTTGTGGTCCTGAAACCCAGGAGGGACCATGTGTCCTGTCCTCAGGATAGCAATAGGTACAGGCCTTCTGGCCCTGATCACCAGCCAAGCCCAAGTTGGCTGTGCTCAGGCAGCTATCCTGGGCAGGCTCTGTGCAGCCACCTAGGACCCACCGCTACTCTGCCACAGGCTCTTCCAGGTCCAGGACTAGAGCTTAGGAGCCTACTGTGCCCTCAGTGAGCAAGGAGACCAGAACTTGGGTTCAACCTTGGATAGATACTTTAGACTCTCTGTCTCTAACAGCAGCCTCCCTACCTACCTGAACTCAGGCAGAGTGCAGCCGGATCCTGAGTTAGCCACATTCCCCATGTCACCAGCTCTCCTACCCCCAGTTGCCCTCCCTGGTAGAGTGGTATCATGACCACAAGCCTCACAGAAGTCTCACTGACCAGGGCCTTCCCTTGCAGCCACACACACTCACCCGGGTCTATGGCCACGGTGGGGGAGTGGTCCTGTGCACGTTGCACCTTCCTGAACCCAGCCGGCCAGCGCCAGTGTTCCATCTGCGAGGCCCCCCGGCACAAGCCTGACCTGGACCAGATCTTGCGGCTCAGCGTGGAAGAGCAGAAATGGCCCTGTGCTCGCTGCACATTCCGGAACTTCTTGGGCAAGGAGGCCTGCGAGGTGTGCGGCTTCACCCCGGAGCCTGGCCGTGGGGCCACCTTGTTGCCCATCATCAATGGGGTCCTGCCCAAGCCACCCACTGTCCTTGTGGAGCCAAAGGGCAGCTGCAAGGAAGAGGCTGGCCCAGTACGGACAGTGGGACTGGGGGCTGTGGAGCCAGTCAGGGGGCACCCTGAGGAGGAGGAAGCAGAGGATCTGGAGGACCCAGAGGAGGGGGCAGAGCCCAGAAGTGGCTGGGCCTGCCAGCGCTGCACCCTGCACAACACACCTGTGGCTAGCTCCTGCTCTGCCTGTGGGGGACCCAGGAAACTGTCACTGCCCAGGATCCCCCCAGAGGCACTGGTGGTCCCTGAGGTGGTGGCCCCCTCAGGCTTCCATGCTGTACCCGCCCCGACCCAGCCAGTTCTTCCTGGGGAAGGTGCTGAAGTTGACCCTTCCTCTACCAGCCAAGGTCCAACTTCTGCTAGCCAGGAACCCCCTAGGATACCGCCCTTCAGCCCCTTCTCAGCCACCCTGCAGAACAATCCAGTGCCCCGAAGTCGCCGAGAGGTTCCTCCTCAGCTGCAGCCACTTGTGCCTGAGGCTGCTCAGCCCTCACCCTCCACTAGCTCCAAAGGCTGGGCTGGGGCCGGGGCCGGGGCCGGGGCCGGGGCCGGGGCCGGGGCCGGAGCTGGAGCTGGGTCCTCCCGCCTGGCAGAGCTTCTGTCAGGCAAAAGGTTGAGTGTGCTGGAGGAGGAAGTCCCAGAAGACAGGCCTACCCATAGTGAGGCCTGCAGTCCCACTCCAGGCAGCGATGTCATTGACCTGACCGGTGATACCGTACGCTACACACCTGCCAGCCCCTCCAGCCCTGACTTCACCACCTGGGCCTGTGCCAAGTGCACACTCCGGAACCCAACAGCAGCCCCCAGGTGTACAGCCTGTGGCTGCTCCAAGCTACATGGTTTCCAGGAGCATGGTGAGCCCCCCACCCACTGCCCAGACTGTGGTGCCAACAAACCAGGTCCCTGTGGCAGCAGCTGTGGACGGTGCCCCTCAGCCCATAAGGCCTCCCGCCTCCTAACCGAGCGCCCAGGCCAGTGGGCCTGCCCTGCCTGCACCCTACTCAACACACCCCGGGCCAAACACTGCGCAGCCTGCCATACTCCCCAGCTGCTGGTGGCGCAGCGCCGGGGAGCCACACCTTTGAGGCGCAGGGAAAGCATGCATGTGGAGAAGCGGCGTCAGACGGATGAGGGCGAGGCCAAGGCCCTCTGGGAGAACATAGTGGCTTTCTGCCGGGAGGTGAGTGGCCCTTCCTTGACCTGAACTCAAGCTTAGCCTCCAGACCACTGGTGTCTGCTAGTGTTTAAGATGTATGATAGTCTCCCCTTGCCCGGGAACGTCCTTAAACCCCTCAAATGCGTGCACTCACAGAGGAGCACTGTGGGGTTGCCAGGAGCAATATGGAAACTTGAGACTCAAGGTGGAGGAGCAGTGGCGATCTCCCTAGGCAAGGGCCGGGGCAGATCAGTGCTGCTGTACTTTGCTGCTCCAGCCCCTCCTGAGCCTGGCAGTAGCAGCAGGCTGCCGTAAGTCCCCTTACCCCTCACTTGATGGACTGTACCCTCTCCCCGGGTACACATTTGCTGCAGTCGACTGGTCACCAACTGCAGCGTCTTGATCGGGTGACTGCATCCCCCACACTCACTCAGAACCATCCCGACAATGAACCCTCTACATAGGTTATGCTCTCCAAGCACAGAGGTCTGTGGGCCACACATAGACCCCACCCATCCTTCTGAGTCTTTCTGGGGAGGTTGGGGTCATCCTGAGAGAGTGAGGTTATCTTGGACCTGAGTATACCCTGCCCAGCCTGAGTGTCTGGCTGTGATCCCTACAGAACAGCGTGAACTTTGTAGATGACAGCTTCCCCCCTGGGCCTGCATCCGTGGGTTTCCCTATGGGCGACAGTGTCCAACAGCGTGTGAAGCAGTGGCTAAGGCCCCATGAGATCAACTGCTCCGTCTTCAGGGACCACAGCACCCCGTGGTCCGTCTTCCACACCCTCCGGCCCTCGGACATCCTGCAGGGGCTACTGGGGAACTGCTGGTGAGCTCCAGGCACCTGCCCGGGGCCAAGAAAACCTGGTGGAGGCTGGGAGGCCACTGGTCTGGCCATGGTCCCCTGGTGAGGCCACCTGGTCCACACAGGTTCCTGAGTGCACTGGCAGTGCTAGCTGAGCGGCCTGACCTAGTCGAGAGGGTGATGGTCACACGCACCCTATGTGTGGAAGGTGCCTACCAGGTGCGACTATGCAAGGACGGCACTTGGACCACAGTGCTGGTGGATGACATGCTGCCTTGTGATGAAGCTGGCTTTCTCCTCTTCTCCCAGGTGGGCCCATAGGATGTGGGGTGGGGTGGGCAGGTCGGGGCTGCCTTGTGACTCCAGCATTTCCCCAGGCACAGCGGAAGCAGCTGTGGGTGGCTCTCATCGAGAAGGCGCTGGCTAAGCTACATGGCTCCTACTTTGCCCTCCAGGCAGGGCGCGCCATCGAAGGCCTGGCCACGCTCACCGGCGCCCCCTGCGAGAGCCTGGCGCTGCAGGTCAGCTCCACTAACCCCCGAGAGGAGCCTGTTGACACTGACCTCATCTGGGCCAAAATGCTGAGTTCTAAGGAGGCTGGGTAAGAGGGGCAGGTGCTGCCAAGGCCTGCAGCATTGGGAGGAGAGGCAAAGTGAGTGGTGGGAAAACCAGGAGGCAGTGCCCTCTGACCCTCACGGAGTTTTACAAGGTGCTCCAGCACAGACTGGCTACAGTCTAAAGAGTTGGCCAGGCCTCTGTCCAGGTGGGGCCAGTGCTGACATTTTGGGAAGGCCACAGCTGATTTGGCCTATGGGAAGAGCCAGTGACCATTGCCTCCAGCTCAGAGCCTACTGAGGCTTCTGTGGGGTGGGGACAGTGGCTGAGACTGGCCCCACCTGGTCAGCATTCTGAGCTTGGACCCTGAGAACCTGTGGAAGGGTGCAGACCCTGGGATCCACCTTCCCAAGCTGGGTCCAGGATGGAGGGCTGGGCCCAAACTTCCTCAGCATGTGTCCCCCATGGGCAGGGGGGCCCCCATCTGCCGCCCTTATCCACTCCGGTCAGCAAAGGCCACTCTGCTGCACAGGTTCCTCATGGGTGCCTCCTGTGGGGGGGGCAACATGAAGGTAGATGAGGCTGCCTACGAGAGCCTGGGCCTACGCCCCCGCCATGCCTACTCCATTCTGGATGTCCGTGACATTCAGGGTTCCAGGTAGGTCCTAATGGTTGTGGTCAAGTATGGGGATGCAAATAGGAGTATGGTACATTCCTGGCACTCAGCCCTATGGTCTGCAGGCTCCTGCGACTCCGGAATCCCTGGGGCCGTTTCTCCTGGAATGGCAGCTGGTCTGATGAGTGGCCTCACTGGCCAGGGCACCTGCGGGGTGAGCTGATGCCACGGGGCAGTAGCGAGGGTGTCTTCTGGATGGAGTACAGCGATTTCATCAGGTACTACACACCCTGGCCTACCATGGATGGATACTTGGGAAATACTATCCACCCTTCTGCTAACCTTGATCAGCACAGCCTCTGTGTATCCTGGCTTTCGCTAGGACTCTGAACCACAGCTCCTGAGTTGCCCTTTAAAATCCAGGCCTATGGGCAGCCTGGGCCTGGTGTCCCTGATGGCATCCAGGGGGCTGCAGCCAGGACAAGCACTTCCTGGCAGGGAGAGCCTTTCCAGAGGGCTTCCAGGGGAAGACCAGGGCTGTGCACAGACAGTGAGGCCTATGGGCCAGTGCTAGGAGCCAGGGAGCAGTGGCCCATGGATATGGTTACCATGTCCAGGAGCTGCAGTATCAATACACCTGTCCTCACATCCAGGTACTTCGACTCTGTGGATATCTGCAAGGTGCATTCAGATTGGCAGGAGGTGCGGGTACAGGGGAGCTTCCCCAGCTCTGCCAGTGGGCCCGTGGGAGTCACAGCACTCACAGTGCTGGAACGTGCTTCGCTGGAGTTTGCCCTCTTCCAGGAGGGCAGCAGGTGAGCAGTGGGCAAGGTGGCTCTGCTAGGCTGAGGACCATGGCCACAACCATATAAACCACCGGCCTACCATCTTCGACCTGCAGGCGCTCAGACACAGTGGACAGCCACCTACTAGACCTGTGCATCCTGGTGTTCCGGGCCACTTTTGGCAGTGGTGGCCGCCTGAGTCTGGGTCGCCTCTTGGCCCACAGCAAACGTGCTGTGAAGAAGTTTGTGAACTGCGATGTCATGCTGGAACCCGGCGAGTATGCTGTGGTGTGCTGTGCCTTCAACCACTGGAGCCCTGCCCCACCAGGGCCCCCCACCACCCAGGGTAATAGTGTCCCCCCCAGGCCCCAGGTCTGAGCCTACCTCCCCTTGGAAGACCTGCTAGCTCCCTTACTCATGCCCCTCCACAGCCTCCAGCCCCTCAACAGGGGTCTCCCGAGGTACCCCCGAGCCTCCAGGCCACGTGCTTGCAGTATACAGCTCAAGACTGGTCATGGTGGAGCCAGTGGAGGCACAGCCGACCACACTGGCTGACGCCATCATCCTGCTCACTGAGAGCCGGGGTGAACGACATGAGGTGGGTAGAGTTCCTCACCTTATGGGTGGATGGCCCCAGCCTATATAGGAGGTGGGTGGAGTTCCTTACCCTATAGGTGGGTGGCTCCAGCCTATATATGGCACTTGTGCCTAGGGCCGTGAAGGCATGACGTGCTACTACCTGACACATGGCTGGGCTGGGCTCATCGTGGTGGTAGAGAACCGGCACCCCAGGTCCTACCTGCATGTCCAGTGTGACTGTACTGACAGCTTCAACGTGGTGTCCACACGTGGCAGCCTGCGGACCCAGGACAGTGTACCACCCCTGCACAGGTGGGTCTTCCTACCCCAGTCTCCACCCTGGCTTCCCACTGGTCCTCACCAACCCCCTCTCCCAGGCAGGTCCTGGTGATCCTGTCCCAGCTGGAGGGCAACGCTGGATTCTCCATCACACACCGCCTGGCACACCGCAAGGCAGCCCAGGCCTTCCTCAGTGACTGGACAGCCTCCAGGGGCACCCACAGCCCTCCTCTCACACCTGAGGTCGCCGGCCTACATGGGCCCCGGCCGCTGTGACCACTGCGCCCTTGGGCGGGGGTTTGTGCAAACTGCCCACCCGTTCCCCACATGCACTTTATGAGGGAGACCCCGATGAAGGACGCTTGAACCAGAATCTCAGGACCCCCGCCCAGGGAGCCGCCAGCCACAGCTCCCCCTGGGCTCTCCCACGCCCGTCTACCCTTCCCCATCCCTGAGCACCCTCAGGCCCCTGGCCCAGGCTCCCGGCCACTAAGCAGAATTACCTCGAACCAAGTGGGTCACATGCTAACCCCCAAGACCTGCCAGCCCCAGGGACAGCATCCAGCAACAGTGGAGTCTGAGCCAGGCTGGCCTATCACCCTAAACAAGGGCCATCTCCTGCCAGGGAGAGGTAGCCAAGAGCTCTGTTCACAAAACCAAATCTGGGGGTCAGAGGCTAGGACCCTGTGGTGAGAGCTAGGACTACCCTTGGCTCCAGGGAGGCAGCCTGTCCTCAGTTTGACCAGAGCCTGGCTTCCGCCCCAAAGAGGCAGGCAGGGTTCCTGGAGCCCTGGTGTTTGAGCAGCGCATCCCAGGAGGTGGGTGCCTGGTAACCACAGGCCGGGGCCCCTCCCATGATACTATGCAATTCCTGGAGCGCCTGCAAGGATCGAAGCCATGACGGGGCAGCAAGTCGGGAGCTGGGCCCAGCCCTGCTGTCTGGTGGGGTGCTTTGCCCTCAACAGCCCTGACTGTGGCCGGCCAGGCCAGGGTCCAATAGAACCTTGGGCCAGTCCCATCTATGGCCTTCACCCAGCCACAGAGAGGGACCCTAGTCCTATCACAGGCACAAGGCAGGGCACAGCCAATCCCCCCAAGAAACCCAGGAAACTGAGCCACCCGCCTGCCTGGCATCCCCTCGCTGCTTGTTGAAGCCAGTCACCTTGTCTGCCACGTGGATGTCCAAGTCCAGCTTCCTGGGTTCCCCGCCCAGCCACCACTGTCCTGCAGGCAGCCAGTCTGCCCATAGCCCTCGCATCTTGTGGGGTCTGTAAGGTTTTTACACCTAGAAACACATTCCCCTCTCCCCTCTGGGCCCCCTTTTATTCTGAGCTGTGAATATTTTTAACCCTGTAAATATGGCCAGCTCTCCCAACAGAGACCATTTTATCAGCTGTCAGTCCCTTCCTGGTTTGAGGACTCCATGGGCGGTTTCCACTCAGGCTCCAAGGACCAAATAAAAGCGATTTGTTTTGTAAGGGAGGCTCCTGTCTGTGTCCCTCCTGGGGTTTGGGCCTGCAGAAAAGCAGACTGACTGTTTAAGAGCCACCGCCCGAGGCAGCAGGTGGGGGTCTCCATGGTGGATCTGTACCTATGGGCACCAGGGCCTGTGATGGTGACCAGGTACACAGTTGTCCCCAAGGTCAGCTTCGGATGTGCCACTGGGGGGCAGAGGAGAGATTGGGCAGACGCTGTCAGGAAGGACCAGGCATCCAGGCTGGGCAGAGGCTGGAGTCAGACTGCAGCCTCAGAAAGGACCCTTGTGGCAGACAGGACGGTGTGTATGTGTGGTTTTTTCTTCCCTGTGTTCCAGGGCCCTGTCTGAACCCATCAGTCACCAGGCAGGAGCAGATGCGATGAGGGGGGAGAGTGGGATGGCTACTCCAGCTCCTGCTCCTACTCTGCTTTTGCACTGCTTCCCCTCCCAATCTTGTTCTAGCCTGGGCTGCTGCCTTGTGTCACAGGTGATGCTAAGCTGCTCAGCCCCCTCTGGCCCACAGCCCAAGCCCCTTTGGGGCTGGAGGATGTCTCCTGGGCGGAGTGGGACTGGGGAGGCAGGGCTGGAGTGCTCCTTGTAAGAGGCCTGTCACAGGCCAGCCCATCGAATGTGAAAGCAATTAAAGCCACCAGCAGTGTTGGCTCCAGGCGGGCCTCGGGCAGCGGGGCAGCTGCCATAACACATCTCACCTCGGAGCCCACAGCACTGGAGCCCATAGCCCTGGCCCTGCCCCCCACTACTGCACATCAGGCTGGACCTCCTGTGGGGTAGGGCCCAGGCCACACCAGCCACACGTCTGGCAAGAGCTGGCACCTTCCATGCCTGACACCCTGGGCATCCCAGACCCAGGCTCATCTCAAGATCCCTTCCTTCTGGCCCCATCCACCCAGCACCTACCCCTTTCTGGCCTCTGTAGCCTCCAGCCCTGGGACAACCCAGGGGGAGGTCCAAGATGCAAGATCTACACAAAGACCCTCCAGTATCCACAGCAGGCCTGCAGCTGTGCAGTACCCCCTGGAACACAAGTTTGGCCCTAGCAGGCAGTGGATGTGGGTGGAGAGGAGGGCTCCACCGAGGAGTTGTGGACACTCAGGTGAGATCTTTAAGCAGGTATTGGACAGCAAGCTGGAGCTCCCTGGGTTCAATGCAGTTGCAGGGGCAGGCTGGAGGAGGTTGTTGGGCTGTGTATAGCGTGTAGGGAGGTGGCCAGCCCAGCCTTAGGAGCTAACAGAATCCACTTTGGCATTGGCACCCCTGGCCAGACGGCTGAGCCACTGCTACCATGCACCTAGGGTTCAGCTCAGCCTGCGGGGAGTAGTGTGGACTGTCCCAAGCGGAGGATCACAAAGCTCAAGAGACAACAGACAGGACTCATCACTGCAGCTAAGAGTGGACTCGATATTGGGGAGACAGCCCCCAGGGCTCCCCTCTTTCCCCCTTTGAAGCCCCGAATCCCTTCCCCAGTCTCCTGTGGTCTCACCCTGATAGTGCCATGATCCTGTCCATGGTCCTCTAGTCCCTACTTCCTGGCTGGGGCTGCTCCTATTCTCCCACGACCCCCTCCCAGCCCTCACTGCTGGTGCTGCGAGCTATCATGGCCTTCCTGGGGCGGGCGGTGGCGTGTTCTCACTTGTGAGGCATCCCTGTCAAAAGCACTTAGTGTACAAATTAGCTGTGGCCTCCCTGCCTCCCTGCGCACAGCTCTGGGCGCTGGGCTGACAGGGCTGTGCTCCCGGCCTTCTCCCGCCTGCCCGGGGCACATGGCTGCCCAGTGTGGACCCCTGGCTGCCATCCACATCTGACCAGGAAGGTCTGTCCCCTGCTGACTGGCCAGAGTTAGGCTCAGGTCCCCCAACCTTGAGCTGAACAAGGATGACCACAGCAAGGGAAGCATTCAGTGAGGTACTAGGGGGCTCAAGGCCAAGGCCAGGACCTGCCCCAAGAGAGGTAAATCCTAGGGTCAAGGGCAGTGGGGAGGCCTGGACTTGAAACCAGCTAACAGTCCCCCACTGCCCCACCCGAACCAGCCTGCCACTCAGGCGGGAAAAATCATCTGTGACAGGCCCAGGAAGGCCGGCCCCGGGGGCCGCAGAGCAACGCACACAGCTCCTCTTCCCAACATATGGCTGCTGTCGGCCCCAGGCGCTGCTCAACCAGTGCCAGTCTCAGAAATTGGGTGGGGGCTTGGGTGGCCTGAGCCTCATCCCACCCGCCTGCTGCTGCCCCCTCTGTCAGTGGAGAGGCTTCTGCCCCCATTTGGATGCTCTTGTGATGGGGCACTCAGCCCCTCCTCATTATCCCAGACACACAGAAGAGCAGCCCCCACTGAGCCCTAGTTGGCCCGTGAGTTGTAGAGAATTCTGAATTCAAGCTCTACATGTGCCCCACTGTGAGCCAAGCTCCTACCCAGTCCCCCCAAGCCTGGGCTGTCCCTGCCCAATCACCCATCTCCCTCGCCCGCTTCATATCCATACTGTGTGCTGGCAGTGGCTCCCCCATGCTGGCACAGTCTGTAGCCTCAGTGGGTATAGGCCCTCAGGCACATACCAACCACATACCTCATGCTGTCCCCAGCCTGAGGCAAGAAGCAGAAAGTCCCAGGGACAACCCAGGCACTCCAGGTTGAGGGTCTTGTATGCACTCAGGGTTGTCCCAGTTCCTGCACCCATCAGACAGGCAGATGAGAGCCATAGCTAGGCATGCTACGTGATGTCAACCACCCTGGGGGCCAGAGTTCCTGCCGGTGCAAATACATCCAGTCTCAGGCTTCAGGCAGGGCCAAGGGGGTAGGGGTGGGGTAGGGTGCTGGCTCCATGGCCTGTGCCTCCACCCACACCTATCCTGGCTAGGGCTACAACACTGAGGAGTTGAGACACATCTGCCCCAGGCACTGTGTGGCTGCAGACCCCAGCCAGTCTGCCCATCCCCAGCTCTCCGTCCAGCTGGCAAGCCCCAGCAGTAATGGAGGTGACAGGCGGATAGCCATGGGCAGGCCAGGCACAAAAGGTTAATGGTAGAGATAAACCTCCAGCTGAAGGCAGAAGCAGGGGAACCATGTACTAGTACAAAAGGAGAAGATACCACCACCACTGCCTAGGATACCCCTAAAGCCAGGAGCTCCCCCAAGACAGAGGCTCTATTCCATCCTTTCCCCCTTCAACAGAGGGTATAGCCCAGGGAGTATGGTCAGGATACAGGGAGTTGGGGAAGTGTCAAATTATGAATTTGCAGAGTCCCAAGCCCTGCCCCAAGTCCCCAGTGTGTGGGGATGATAGGTCTCAGGAGGTGGTCATGATCTGAGGGACAGGACCCTGAGAGCCTGGCTGTGCTTAGGAAGAGGGCAGGGACCAGTATCCAAGCAGCTCCATGGACCCCCAAGAGCAAGAGCCCATGGCCTGTGCATTCTCCCTTCATAGATCTCTCCTATATGCCTGGAAACCCACCAAGGTCACCCCCCGCTTGAGTCCTCCCAGGTACAGCCCCTTCCTCCTCTCTCTCAAACCTCTAAAGGCTCATCAGGCAGGGATGAGATGGTCTGAAGCTGAGGAGCCCCTCTAGCACCTTCCTGTTTTTCTGACATGACACCATATCTTAGTCTCTCCTGGAGCTCCTTAGTCACTTGAACTTCACTGGGCTTCATTCCATGCATGTTGAGACCAGGGCCCCCCAATATCAGGGCTTCTTAAGACCAGAGCTTCCGTAGACAATGCCCATAGGCTCTAGCCAGCCCTTCCTTGTACTGGCAGACGTGGCCTCTCCAAGATCCTGAGGTGACCAGTGAGGGCCTGGAAAGCATAGAGCTGACCCTGGGACCCCAAGGCCTGAGGTTCCAACTCTCTGTTAGGGTGAGCTAGACCCCCTACCTTTCTAGTGAGCTCCCATGGTGAGGGACCAGGCTCCTGATCCCTGCCTCCACAGGGCTGCTGGCATGATGGCTGCACAAGCTGTCTCCCAGCCCAGGGCCACCTGCCCAGTCAGCTGGTCAGCTAGGCCAGGCCAGGAAGGCAAAGATAAGGCTGGCACGCTTCCATGGCCACAGCACACCTTTGGCCCCATACCATACATAGACACCTCTCAGACAGCAGTGGGCTGCTGTAGCATAGGAACAGGAGGAGACCAACTGGGCTCTTGTCCCCCAGAACCATGTGGCCCTGCTCCTTGACCAGCACTCCAAGGATCTCTGCTAGCAACAGGACCCTGGCTGTCACCCCCACTAAACAGACCTGCAAGCCAAGGCTGGGATCACAGGACCAAGGAGGTGCTGGATTCTGAGGCCAGTGCTCCCTCTGGCTGTCCTATTGTAGGGCAGCACCCAGGAGCCACTAGAGGATCCTCCTACTTCCCTAAACTCCCTATTCCTAGTGTGGGTTGGGAAGACCCCAGGAACCAGTAACTATTGCAGACAATCTGGGCCCCCAGCAACCAAGTGATCCCCAGTGCCCCTAAGGTTGGCCTGGAGACCCCATATCTCAAAGCCACTTCATAGATCTCTGAGTAAAGGTGCTTTCCCTTAATTGAAAGCTCTAGCTGTTCCAGTCATGTCTGTGCCCACTTCTGGGATGAAACCAACTGGCCAGGCAATTTCTGTCAGACCAGTAGAAAAAGTAGGATCCTGGAATGCTGAGTTTTGACAGGTCAGGAGCAGCTCTGGCTATGAGGACAAGAAGGAGAGGGCGTTTTCTGGTTCATGGTGTCCCTCCCTGACCCTTCCTTGCGCTCTTACTACCCCGAGACCTCCCAAGAGAGGAAAAGCTCTTTCAGATCACAGGCAAAAACTTGCCCAGCACTGCAGCCCCCAGGCACCTCTTGGGGAGAGGGGATTGGGGTGCTGAATCCAAGAAAGGAGGCGTTCACACGGTGTCCAGCCTGACGTAGTGACCAACAGTGGGCTGGCAGGGGCACAGGAGCGCAGAGCCATTTCACCTCCTGTTTGGAGACAAACTGTACAGGGCCGCTTGCCCCGGGAAAGCATAAGGGACGCAGCCCGGGTCTGTGCTCTGCCCCTGCAGGACAGCTCTGCGGATCCGTCCAGGGGCTCAGCTCCAGCCCGGGCTAGGTGGGCAAACGGCCGTCCGGTACCAGAGCCCTGACAGATGTTCGCTGACGCCCCCTCACGCCGCTGCGGGACCCGGGAGACCTGCTCGCCTTTGCGCACCCCCGCGGCAGCCTGCAGGCAACTGGGGGCGGGGACGGTGCCCGTCGCCCCCCACTCGCTCGCACCTGCGCGCCACTCCCGACTCGGTGGCCCTGCGGCATCCACCACCAGGACTCTGTCCCGAACCACCAGGCGAGTTCGGCGGGCAAGGGTTGTCCCCACTCCCCGCGTCCCAGCCGGGTCGGAGGTCGCTGCGCCCCGGAGCTCTCGCCGTGGCGCACGCGCGCGCTTTGCTGCCAACTTCGGTGGGCGAGCCCGCGTCGGGGGGACGCAGTCGGGGGGACGCAGTCGGCGGCGGCCGCTTCCACGAGACGCCACCGCGCGGGAGCCGCTCCCAGTATCTGGCCTCAGTTTCCCCCGCGGCGTACACGGGTGCGCGCGAGAAGTTCGTTCCTCCTCACAGACTTGTCTGAAGCTGCAGACTCGGCTCGGCAGACGCGGGTAAGGCGGGCGGCGGTGTTTCCTACGAAGTTGGGGCGCTGGGTGGGCCAGGGCACGGAGAGCGAGAGAGGCAGATCTGCTCAGCTGCAGGGGCAGTCCCCACTGCCCTGTATCCAGGCTCCAAGAGGGGGACCACCTGGGCGCTATGTAATGGAGACGCAAGGGAAAGTGTGGAGTCCCAGCCAGCCCCACCTCGACCAAGTGGGAGCTGCGTGGAGTCCCAGTGGGGGCAGGGTGGGTGTTCTATGATCTGCTTGTGGTCGCCTAGGATGCCAAGTGCCAAGGGTCCACCGCAGACAGGGAATGCAGCCGGGGCGTCTGGGAACATGTCCTGGTCAGTCACAGGTCGGGTGAGGGGCAGTAGTGTGTCTTTGTGTGTGTGGAGAGGTGACTGGTGTGGTCTCCCATTCCTGTACACTGTGCTGGGTGAGAGCTGGGTTTCCTCTGGGTCCTCTTGGGGTCAGCACCTGATGAGATGGCCTCTGGACACCTTCCCCCTCCACCAGTCCCTGACCTGAAGGGGCAGAGGGAAGGAGCCTCCTGGAGTCCGGGGGGCCCAGAAGGAGCTCCTAGTCCCGGTGGGGGGTGCCAGCACCAGTCTGCACAGCTGTGTGGCTCCCAGGGCTGGGTGATCGATGGCCTGGTACAGCCGCCTCTGTCGCCTGTGCATGCATGCCTATCTGTCATCCACATCTGGTAGGGAACGGGGCAGGGAGAAGGGCTGCCTCTCACCCACCAAATCTAAGTGGTGTCTCCTGGGCCAGCCCACTCCTTCCGACCTTGCAGCCCCTCTCAGCCTCTGCTTGCTCCACTGCCATACTCGGCCTGGACATGCTGACCCTTTGGAGGGCCCCTCTCCGCCCTGTCACAGGGGTACCCTCATGGTATTTGGTGGCAGTAGAGTCAGCTGGCTGCTCTGAGCTGACTATTGATGAGAATATGGAGGAAGGCTGTGCCCAGCACCGCCCAGCCACCCCCAATTCAACCCTCTGACTATCTAGGATGTGCACATCTATGTACCCACATCTGTGATGGGTCTGTGACTGTGTGAATTCTAGCCATGTCTGTGTGTCCTTGGGTGAATGCTGTGTGCATGTGCACATGTGTGTGCTGTCATGCACAAGCAGTAGTGTCCACCTGAGTTGGGTACGGGGCTTGTGGGCATGCGTGTCCAGGCTTCTTTGTGCTTGGTGCCATAGCCACGAAGACGTTGCTTCTTGAGCTGCTGAACCAGGGCTTCTGGAGAGCCTTTTATGCCTCTGTGCACACATGCCATGCACCCCACATAGGCATGAGTGCCAGGGCGGTGGACAGCCCAGGTGGTGGCCCAGATGGAGTGTAGAGCGGCTCCCGAGCTGGCGTGTGGGGTGGCATGGGGAGGAGAGGGTCTTGGCTGAGCATGCTGCTGCAGGCTCGGTCGCCGACCTGCCTGAAGCCACCCAGATGGAGCTGGGCTGAGCAGGTGGCTATGCTACGGGGCCATGCTGTGACATCCACTCCCCCAAGCCTGGGCTGGCTCCCTGTGAGACCAACCCCTTCTGAGACCCCATTCCTACCTGACACCACACTAGAGCAATCTCAGGCGTGCAGGCACACACACACACACACACACACACACACACACACACGCACACACACGCATGCACGCAAGGACAGTGTTAACCAGACAATCAGAGCCTCTGCTAGCATCTATCTCATTGGCTTTCACCTTGGCCTCCAGTGGGGGTGGATGGTTCAGCATGCATGGGAGTCTCTGGCAGGCAGAGGACCAGGAGGGCCTGGCCACTTGCAGCTTCTTTCAGACACCTATCAGGTGCTGGGCATCTTCCTGGCACAAGGAGCAGGGCCTGAACAGAGGCTGATTATCCCAGAAACTGGCCTGGGGGTGCCAACCTGTCCTCAGGGGTGGAATTTATACATTATCACTGGCTACGTACAGGATGTCCAGTGAATTGAAGTTTCAGATACACAATGAATAACTTTTAGAGTAGTTTAGAGATAATGCCTAAGCCATACTTATACTAGAAAATTATTTGGTGTTTGGGTCAGATTTAAGCAGATTTTTCTTTACTAACCTGGCAATCCTAGAAGTGCCTAGAGGAGTTCAAGGTCAAGAAGTCTGCAGTGCAGAAGACAAGGTCACAGGATAGAGGCAAGCAGGGCTCCTTGAACTCATATCCCTGGAGTGGGGGAGTCCCATGCAGTGGACAAGGAGACCGAGAGACCTGGTGCTGACCATGGTCCCCTGTCGACAGGTGGCCATGGTGCCCGGACCTGCCCACTAGCTGCCTACCATGTCTCGAGAGGCAGGATCATGCCGTGTGGGCGCAGGGGCCAGAGTGCGGTCACGGAAGCCCAAGAAACCACACTACATCCCTCGGCCCTGGGGCAAGCCATACAACTACAAGTGCTTCCAGTGCCCCTTCACCTGCCTGGAGAAGTCACACCTATACAACCACATGAAGTATAGCCTCTGCAAAGACTCCCTCTCTCTGCTGCTGGACTCCCCTGACTGGACATGCCGCCGTGCACCCGCTTCTCCTAGGCCCCGGGTGCCCACTCCTGACTGCCCCAGGGATCCTCCAGGCCCTAATATACAGCCCCCTGTGCCCAATCTTGTCACTGACAGCCTCTCCCGGAACCACTGTGGTGGGGGCGCCAACCCTGGGGCTGTGGGGTCACCAGGGCCACTGCCCCCTTTGACCAGGGCCTCCCGGAAGGGTCCAGGCCCCTCTGGGCTCCTGGTAGAGTCATGGAAGCCAGGGCTGGGTGGTGGCCCAAGGAGCACGGCCCTGGGGGGTGCGGGGGCCATGGCCTCAGCAGGTTCTGAGGCCAGTGTCCCCTGCTACCCACCTCCTCCTCCAGGTGACTTCCCCGAGTCCCACAGCCTCCACTTGTCTCTGCTGGGTGTCAACTACCCTCTCAGCCCAGGTCTCTTCTCCTACCTGGGGCCCTCACTGGCTGCTGCTGCTCACGTGCCCTTCCTGGCCTCTGCTAGCCCCCTGCTGCCCCCAGCTACTGCCATGCCATCCCAGCAGCCCCCCGAGCGCCAGGCCCTGGCCCCCCGCCTATATTACCCACTACTGCTGGAACACAGAGTAGGTCTGCCCCCAGGCAGGGCAGCCCAGGCCAAGCCCTCTGTACCCACTAAGGGGCCCCCTGGGACTCTGGCTCCTGAGCTGCTGAAGCTGCCCATTCCAGGGCTGGCCCGGACCTGGGTCCACAGCACCCCCAAGGACCCAGGGCAGGAGGGAGATTTGGAGGAAGCTGTCCAGAGTGACCACCACAGAAGGCTACCTCCAGGAAGCAGGCTGGAGCTCCAGAAGGCTTCCTCACACCTGGCAAAATTCTATCCCCAGAGCAGGTGGGTGCCACAGACTCTGGGCTCTGGGAGTGGAGAGGTCAGGGGAGGGCTGGATGGGGGGCTGGGCCCTGTCCTGAGCTTACTCACTGAAAGTATGGGCTCCAGGTTACTGAGACTAATGAGTGTTTTTTCTGTCCTTGGGAGACCCTATTCTCTTTCCCTGGGCTGTGGTGACAGAATGGGCAGAAGACACAGGAAGATGGGGGTGGTGGCGCATGCCTGTAATCCCAGCACTGGGGAGGCTGAGGCAGGCGGATCACCACAAGTTTAAGGCCGGCCTGAGCTACATAGTGAGTTCAAGGTCAACCTGAACTACACAGTGACACCCTGTCTCAAAAACAACAACAAAAAGAGGACACAGGGAGCAGGGGTTTGGGGTATTGTGGGCATTGTGGAACTCCTGACTACCTCTTACCCTCCAGCCTGTCGACTGGCTCTTCCCTGATGCTCTGGCCTGAGGACAAGGAGCTGGGTGACCCTGAGGCCCCAGGCCTAGAGGTCCCCCTCTCCCAGAAGCCACAGGGCCTGGTGCTGGGCAGCCCAGGGCCTGTGGGAAAGGACCTGACCCGGGCTCTGGGCGACTATGCCAGGGTGGAGCAATGCCTGGGGCAGCTGGCCCCAGCTGGAGGCCTGGTCCCCCGACCGCTTCGGGAGCAGCTGGGTAAGATCCGCCGTGAGCTACTGACCATTCACCAGGCCCTGGAACGGGCAGCACAGCCACCAGACACACCTCTGGACCTCTCTGTGAAACGAGTGGCCACCAAGGGACCTGAGGCCACAGCAGGGGCCTGGGGTCTGCCTGAGCTGGGCCCCACGCTGGCCGGGGGGCCCTCCGAGAACCCCAGCATGCTGGGCCCTGCAGCGCCTCAGCCCTTCTCTGGCCACACCACCAAGTGCGAGGCTGACTCCAGTGTCCCACCCCCTGGGCTGCCCCTCCAGGGCCCCGAGGACCCTGTTATTCCTGGCAGTGGCTGGGGGACCCGCATCAGGGCTGGGGGCTCCCAGACCCCTAAGGATGTCCCTGGCCTGCAGAGTCCCCCAAGTGCTGAGGTCTGAACATAGCCCCCTTAGAGTGCTGACTCTGCTCCCCAATCCTAGCCCCACTCTCTGGGCCTGTCCAGCCTCAGTGTGCATGTGGACAGACCCCAAAGTCCATGGTGAGGCTTGTTTCTGGGGCCACATGGGAATAGTTGGGTCATGGTTATTTATTGATCACAGTTGTGAATATTAAAGTGGAAGTCACCTTCAAACACCCTGCCTAGACTGCCTTCCTTTCTTCCTTCCCCAACATGAGTACTGGGACACTCCAAGGAAATATCTCTGGCCTAGGACTCTAGGTGCAGTGTCCCCGGCCTCTCTGCTGGACTTCCACCTTGGACTGGGCCCTCCCTGGGGCCTGGAGTGGGGTGGACTCGGCCTTCTTCTAGGGCCAGGGCCTGGGGTGGGATGGGGGCATCAGCAGGGGACAGAGCCAAGAGAGGCAAATATGTGCTCTGGAGTTGCTCAGATGATTTGTCCTGGTTTTCAGTGCACCAGAAGTGGGCAGGATCTGAGCATCTTGCAGCCCCCAGCCTACCCAGGCCATCTTAGCCTCAGCCTCTCCTGTTGTTATATGTGCCTCCTGCATTCTGTGGCTCAGGGCTGCTTCCCCCTGCATGGCCCCCTCTAGGCTCCGCCAGCCCCTGCAGCCATGATAGGCATCGGTGGCCTTCACAGCTCGCTGCCTTCTTCCCGGTGTGACCAGGCTTGGCCTTCCACAGGCGGGGGTGGGGGTGGGTAGGGGGACCAAGGGTCCTGGAGCCACAGCTAATAACTTCTCTTTCTGGGAAGCTGGGCCACATCTCCATGCCCACCCAGGAATGGCCCCCGCAGTGCAGCTTGCCCTCAGAGGAGGCGCTGTTCCTGCCTGCACCTGGATGGCCAAGCTGCGGCTAGGCTGGCCGGGCTGGGGCCAGTCCAAGCAGGACCTTCGGCTGCCCCATTAACTGCAGTCACCTGGTGATAGCATCAGCCAGCTACCCCACCATGAGGCGTTACAGGTGGTATCCAGAGCCAGGGTGCTAGGTGACCACGCACGGGGTGCTATGAGCTGCAGACCAGGGCTGAAAGATGCCATCCATGCAGTCTCCACTGGAGGCTTCCTGTAGGGGTGCTAGAGGCTGTAGGAGAGCCAGATGGTGCTAAAGGAACCCCAGGTCCTGAGTCTGAGGCACACCCATCCCTTGGCACCCCAGGTGTATGTTGTACCCTGACTTCTTGTGCTGGGAGCAGCATTGCCAGCTTCACGTGAGCATAGGACCAACCTGCTGTCCTGCTGGGGGTGGCAAAAGGGTGACCTAGCCAGCAGGCCACCTTCCCCAAGGCTCTGCCAAAAAAGTCCTGCTTAGGGGCTGTGGTCTGGGGCTGCCCCTGGCTATGTGTGGGTATGGGTGTCCTGGAGAGGAGAGGTCTCGCCGAGAGGCAACCAGCCATGCAGGGCTAGAGGGAAGAATGTCCAGGGAGGGTGAGGTCCACTGAAACCTGATGCAGGAAAGAGCCAGCTTTACAGTCCAGAGCTTCCTTGGTTGCTCCCTCACCCACCCCCACCTTCCCCGTTGCAGTGGGGCAGGCCTAGACTGCCCCCCTCCCCTGCCCATTGACTTAACCCTTCAGGGAACCTACCCTGTGCGTGCCCCACCCTGCTTCTCTCACAGGCCCTGGTCTCCAACAACAGAGGTTGCCTTTTCTGCCCACAGACTTGTCCCAGCAGGGAACCTGTCCTGTCCCCCTGTCCCCCCGCCCCCCCGCCGGCTTCTCTCACAGGCCCTGGTCTCCAACAACAGAGGTTGAGCAGAAACAGAACTGTTGTGGAGCTGGAGCAGAATGGCTGTAGAGCAGGAGCAGGGAGCCTGGCCCCAGGTATGGGACTCCCTGGCAGCACCTCTCTGGAAGGGGCAGGAGGAGAGCCCCGGGAAGGACCCCACTTCACCGATCAGAGGTTGGAAGTCTCCCAAGTGTGAGGATGACCAGCAGGGTCTTAGGCTACTTCCAAGAGGGAAGAGGTCCTGTGGGCAGTTTGAGAAATGATGCTTTTATGTCACCCCTCATTCCCAACCCAGGACATTGTGGTGGCTGTGAGCTTATTTAGAACAAAACCTGCAGGAACTGGGCATAGTGGTATATACATATAAGCCGCTTCTCGGTGACGGACTATGTGCTTGAGGCTGTGCACATCCTAGCACTCAGGAGTGTGAGGCAAGAAGACTCAGTTTGAGGCCAGCCTGGGCTACATATTGAGACCCTGTCTCAAAAAGACATAAAACCAAACAAAGAACAAGAACAAAACCCCAAACCTTAAACCTTGACATCTGTAGGTAGATTGTACCTTCTAGACTCCTCTTTCAGGTACCATGACTCTGGGGGCCCTGAACTTGGGGACCAGATGGGCACTCAGAATCCAGAGGACCTGCCCTCAGATCCGGTTCAGCACTGTCCCCTGCCCCCTGCCTCAGGCTCCTCATCTGTACAATGGGAAATGCCAGTTCTGCTCGGAAGGGTACCAGGACCACAAAGTCACCACTTGCACACAGGGGAAAAGTCAGTCTCTGTCTCTGTCTCTCCCTCCTTTCTCTTCTGTCTTCTCTCTCGCCTCTCTTCTCTCTTCTCTCTCTCTCTTTGCCTCCCTCCCTCATTTCCCTCCTTCTTTTCTTCTCTCTCTCTCAGTCCCTGGGGATTGAATCCAGGGCCAGGCATGGTAGGCAAGAGACTCCAACCTTTTTTATTTGTTGTTTTGAAACAGGATCTTGCTAAATTGCCTGGCTGGTCTTAAAACTTGCTAGCCTCCTGAATAGCTACGATTATAGGCACGTGTTGCCATGCCCCATTCTATCTCTCTTGCAGCTGTAAAGAAGCTAAGACTGTGACTCTGCCCACCTGCCTACTCTCTGGTCTCCTGTCCCTGATTTTCTGGCCTCCTGCCCCGACACTGGCCAGCTGCTTTCAGGGCCTGCACCTCACACTGGACCCCGCTGGAGACCCTACTTGTTCCTGGCAGCCCCGGCTGCTTGGACAAATCTCAGTCCCTGCAGGGGCTGCAGGTGGACCCCGAGGCCTACACTGCTCCTCGGATGGTCTGCTTTTCCTGACGGCTGGAGCAGCACCCTGCGTCTATGTGCTAGACCTGGAGGGACGATCCATCTGCCAACTGCCCTGCCACACGCCACGGGCTGGGGCCTTTGTTCCAGAGGATGTGGCCGTGACATCTTCAGGGCTTGTGGTGGTCAGCGACCTTGTCCATGGAGCTGTCCATGCTCTCGAGCACACTGCCCGAGACCCTCAGAGCCACTGGGTGATAGTGGGGACTTTTCCATCCCCTCAAGGGCTGACTGTGGATGCCCTTGGTCGCTTTCTGGTAACGGACTATGTGTGCGGGGCTGTGCACATCTTCAAGTTGGCCCCTACCTGGGAGCCCCGAGCCCTACCCTCAGTGCTGGGTCTGGAGGGCCCTTGCTGGGTAGGTCCAGGGCCTGAAGGGGGCCTGGCAGTGAGTGAGGAGTTTAGGGATGTGCAGCTGTTTGGCAGTGCCTGCCAGCCCCTGGGCTCCCTGGGGACCCTAACAGGGCACAGCTTTGGCCGCCCTGCAGGTGTATGCTCTGACTCAGAGGGCAACATCATTGTGGCTGATGAACAGAGGCACCAGGTGATCCTGTTTCCCCGGGGAGGGCCACCCATCTGCCTGCTGACAGAGGGGCTGAAGCGGCCTTTGGGTGTGACCTGTGTACCCCAGGGCCGGCTTGTGGTGGCAGATGCTGGAGACAACTGCATCAAGGTGTACCAGTACCTCAGAGAACTGGACTGACTGATGGTGGACACTATGAAAGCACCCCTCACCATCCTGGCCAGCCTCTAGCCTCTTAAACCACTCCACAGGAGGTCAGTGGGTTCCTCTGAGGCTTCTGGCCATGCTCTTGACTCTGAGACTCAATGTACCTGGCCCTGGGGTGGTCCTGTGTCTTTCTCTCAGAGAGCTATGAGTCAGCTGGCTCTCCTTCAATGCTCCAAAGCTGGGCCTTTCCACATCCCTGCTCAGGGTGCCCCTGGCCCTGTGTTCTTTGTTCCCATGCCTACTCAAGCCTTGGCTCTGCTGGCTCAGGTCCCAGAAGCCTGAGCTCTGGAATGGGCAACTGAACCCTAGATCCTTTGGCATGATGGGCTGCCAGCCAGCACATACCTAGGCAAGGTCTCCTGCCAGGCCCAGCTCCAGCCTCCTAATCAGAAGCAGGCAGACAGGGTGTGGCTGGGCAGGGTGGCTTGGGGCAGGGGTGGGGCTCATCAGGGTCCCCTAGCCTCAGAAGTACACCCACTGTCCTGAGCCTCCAGCAGCTTCTTTGGGCCCAGCAGAGGTAAGGGGGAGGCAGAATGGAGGGTCAGGCCTGGAGGTACCCTGGGGGACATGGCTGGCTCTGCCACTCCCCACATGGAACTACTTCGAAGGCTGTGTGAGCCTTCAGTTTTTCTTCTGCAAACATGTTCAAACAGCTCCAAAGTTATAGGAGGGTGGGAGTGCTGGGAGGGTTCCGGGTGGCACCCTCCTGTCTCTGATGACAGACTCCTGCTGCATAAAAAAAAAGAAAATACATGGCCTTTCCTCCCAAATAGGGAAGTGGGGCCTGAAAGGAGTGTGTGTGGTGGGGTGGAGTTATTCAGTGAGTCTGGGCTCATAACGGGGTTTCACGCCAGAGGGGACAGTCTTGCCATAGCAGGTTGTGAGGCGATCTCTACTCAGCCCCCAGTTATTAGGGTCTGCAGTTTAGGTCATTGCCATTCTTGGTTCTCTCACTAGGTTGTGGCCCCTACAGGTGGGTGATTAAATGGGCAGATGTGAAAAGCTGCACCCATTAGGGTCTGCCTCCAGGGCTCAATAAATGTTAGTTACTGACCTCACTATAGGAACGTTGTTCCTACAGCAGGGAACATCGTGTGTGACCTCTCCATTGGATCCACCAGCCCCAGACTGGGTGATCAGGACACAAGTTCAGGGGCTGGGGATTTAGCTCAGTGGCAAAAGCGCCTTCCTGGCAAGCGCAAGGTCGTGAGTTCGGTTCCCGGTACCGGAGAAAAA